AACAGCAACAAAAATACTAATAAATTTTTTTTTAATTTATGTAATTTAATAAACATAAAATATGTAAATATGTATTATAGATAATTAAAAGATTGCAAAACACAAGGTAGCAAGATATATACATATGTATTATTATATACATATATCATGGTAGATGAACTCCAATATGATACTATGATAATATGACGTGATAATGTGTAATGAATGGGAAAGTTTGTTTTCTAACTTTCCTAATTCTATTCAATTTCGTCATGATTGCCTCTTGCTGTAGCTTGTACAGAGCTGTTGTAAAAATGTTAATCAAGTGATTTTATTATGCTTCTCGTTTCATTTGACTGGTATTCGCAAATTCTCACTGCATGTAAGAGAGAGAGAGAGAGAGAGAGAGAGAGAGAGAGAGAGGGACATAGGTATGTATAGCTATAGACAGCATCGGCTGCTAGTGAGTTAGAGCGAGATCGTCAGTCGGGCCACTCGGACAGGGTCGTTATAATACTCAATGCATGAAGAGAAGCGACTAGAATTTATCTTTCTAGAAAATCGCGTTGTGAAGGACGAATAATTCCAGCGTTTCTTTATCTAGAATTAAAGTTTAATAAACGGAGACAACCCAGATATATATAAATGTATAATTTATATGAACGTGTTCAAGTCGGTTGAAGAGCTTGCTTATTTATATCTATATTGACTGCCCTCATTCAAATTCGCTGCAAAATAAAAAAACAAATAATTATAATACAAAAATAATGAATTAATTCTCAGTTGAGAATTCACTAAGAATCCGGAAATATACAACACAATGCATATTTAGATAAATCCAGATATAAACATGTGCATATATATATCAATATATTTCTAAACATCACCTAGGTATGTCACAAGCGTTGCTTGTGATTGTTTTTGGTCGATATCGGCGAGCGTCAACCTTGGATTGGTGTCAATTTGAATATGGAATGGAGATGCGTGAAATGCGGTAGAGTCGCAGTCAAAACAGATCTATTATACTATGGACATTGTTGTGGATATATAGATGTAGATTTGCATTATAAATGCATTGGGGCAAACGTTTAGTTTATGGCCTGGCCGCCTTTCTAAGCCAGCTGCTTGCGGGCCAACTTCAGCTGTTAATGCGGCGCTGTTGTGTTAACTGAAACTTGTTTGGCCCGCAGTTGGAGAGGTCTCTTAATTGCAGGCCTCAAGTGTCAGTGGATTGGCCCGAAAGTCAACCTCAGCTAATGAACATCATCTTTGACATTTTCATCTTCATTTTCATTTTCATTTCCATTTCAATTTGAGCTTTGACTTCGTTATAAAGCAAAATCTGAGCAAGCGATTATGAAATTATCTCGAGCTAAAACCAAATTTGGACAGAAATAAAATTGCGAAGGTCGAGGACTGTCAAAAAAAAACACGCCGACACACAAAAGAGGCGAACAAAATTGTATAGGGAATGAGGGACAATGAGCATGTTTCATCAGGCCCCGAAATACGGGCGGTGACATTCACCGAAGCTATAGAGCTATAGATGCGAAGAGTTGCAGAGTGGAGCCATTGAACCAGAAATCACGAAAACGCTTTACGCTGCTTGAGCATGAATCACGCCCTAGCCGCTCGCATGACAGACCTGACAGAGGAAGCAGAAGTTTTCGACTGGGCAGGGGCTTTACATGAGCCATGAGCATTCAATCGACTCAAGAAGACCAAGAGATATAACTTCTCCCAGCTCCCCATCGGTTCACTCAATGGAAACGCACCAGCTGCCCACTTGAGCACTCCCTGCTCATTGAGCTGACTGAGTGACTAAACTAATGGCTAGCAAGTAGCTACTAACTACTAACTAGTACTACTATCTACTAACTACAGCGGCTCAACTCCTGGACAAAGTCTGTTGGAGAATCAGCGTCACGCCTGAGTTGAGCGACATGCAAAAGTTCTACAAGCTGTACCACGGCTCGATAGCTGCCCATATGATATACAAATATATACACTT